AAAAAAAAAAAAAAAAAAAAAACTTGAGGTTTCCGATTCTTCATCTGTGAATGGGGATAAGAGTAGTCCTGAGCCTGTAGGATTCAGGGAGGGGGAAATGAAATGATTTACGGAAAGCCCTTGGCATGAGGCTTGGCACATAGTGCCCTAGGATCCCTTGGCAGGAGCGTCTTAAATGTGATGCTGGGGTCCCATCCAAGACCAGCCAGATCAATATCTCCAGGGCTGCTGCTGCTCCAGCATCGACGTTTCTGTTTTGATTTGCTTTCAGCTGAGCTCAGATGGCAACCAGCTTGAGGTGGCAACCAGAGTTCTAGGTGTGTCCAGGTGTTTGCCCCAACTCTAAATGGCCCATCCTGCTGAAGTTGTTGAGAGTTTACAGTTTCTTTTTGGAGTTCTTTTCTGCCTCCTCCGTTTCCTAATGCTCTTACAAGCAGCTGATACTTAACTGAGGGCCAGTCTCCTAGGCACTGCACTGAGCACTTTACTGGCTTTGATCAAGCACTTTTCTGACTCTTCCATCTTCACCCCAACCTGGTCCCAGGTGGCCACGGTGTTGTTCTGGGGGCCGTGCAGGTGCCCATAGCGTGCATGCCCCTTAAATTTGGGGCCTTAGGCACCTGCTTGCCTTCCCCTAGTTCCAGCCCCAGCCCACCGAGCCCCTGCTCTATTTACCCCCCTTCATTCTCCACCAGGGTCTGAATCCACGTGGTTTTGCTCACTGATGTGCCAGTCCCTAGAACTGTGCTTGCACACGGTGGGTACTCATGAGTGCATGAGCAAGCGAGTGGGCCCCACAGGGACCCTGTGCATTGGGTTCCATCATTATGCATCATTCCTCTTTTCAGATGAGGAAACTGAGGCACTGATAGGCTAAATAGTTTGCCCAAGGTCCTTAGTGAGTGGAGGCTCCACCCTGGCTCTGAGGTCTTGGCCCTCGCAGACTGCTTCCTGATTCTGTCACTTTGGCTGCGCTGAGAAGCTCTGGCATGCAAAGGGCTCCTCAGTCCGGGAAACCCATCAACATATTTCTAAAAGGAATTGTGTGATAAGTAAGACGCCCTGAGTCTTACTGACTGTTTTCTCCCTCCCTTTTCCTGACAAGATAAGCCCCGCTATTTTCCAACAGATAAAACTGTGAGCTCAGAAAATTTGAAATTTTCTTAATTCTCAGCCCAGTTCTCGACCCAGTTCCTGTCACCCACCACCCAGCAAAGGTGTTTGTCCCTGGGCTGCAGGTTGCCTCTGATGGCTCATTTAGCCTCAGGGAAGGGAGGAAGAAAATGAAAACATTCCAGAGGGAGAGTTAGGCTTCCCAAGAGCGATTGGCTGCCCCCTCCTGCTCGCAGGTATCTGGCCAGGGTGGGGGCACTGCTGTGTTGCAGACACGCTCCTTAAAGAGTGCTCTGTTCCTGCTTGGAGTAGGAGACCCTCCCTCGTAGGTCTGTGGCCTCTCTGCCAGCCAGGCGGGGCCTCAAGTCTGATGGAGGACGGCATCTGAGGACAGGGTCTGAGAGTACACGGTGTGCTGCCCTGCTCTGTGGCTGAAGTCCCTGGGTGACTGCAGGCTGAGGCTGCTTAGAAGTGAGGAATGCTGAGTCAAGGGAATGAACCGGCCTCTTCTTTCTGAGAAGCCAGGGTGATCGCTGAGTCATGCCACGCTTGGCTAACACATGTGCAACCTGCTTTTTATCTTCTCTTTCCCAACCCCATCTCTTCTTCGGGAATCATTTACCAGATGTGTGGCTTGAGTGTCCGTTCCCGCAACAAAAACGCTCTGCAGTAAGGCTCCGAGAAGGCTGTGTTTGTGTTGGACTGCTCTAGACCGTAACTTTGAACTCTGTCTTTCTGTTACTGCCTAGCTGCCTCCTTGCTCTCAGGGAAAGAGCTTCATTTTATAGCAGACGTATGATTAAAGTCACACATGGTCAATATTCCGAACGTTCTGTCAATTCTTAGCAACCCCACGAGGAAGCCTGGCTAATAATGGTGTAGACACAGCGATGGGGCTGTGTGGACTCTGAACTCGCTTCCAGGAATCTCTGAGCTGGGACAGTCTGGTGACATGATTTCCATGTGCCGTGTTTTATTCATACCACCCTGAAGCAAGAGCCATGGAGCTGAACCCCCTACAGAGCGGCTTGTTTCTAATGGATAGGGCCCATTGCCCATCGTGAGGGTGGACCTTTTTATTGGACTTATTTAGAGACATAGGCTATGTACATGCAGCCCAGAGTGCGTAGAGAAATTTTGAGCCAGTCATGGACATGGAGAGTGGAGGGGAAGGGATAGTGGGGCCATGAGAGGCTCTCCTGCCCTAGGGTACCTCTCTTCCTTGCTATCATGCCCTCATTTCATGGTTGAGGAGAGGAGGAAGTAATGGGGGCAAGAAGAGGGTGCACTTGGGAAGAAGAGGGTATATTTCTGGGAAGCCTCATGTAACATGAATGTGTGGTGTAGAGGGCCCGGAGGAAAGTCACAGTGACTTTGGTAAGGGGCAGAAAAGATCATGAACATGGGCACTGTTGATAGTGGGATGACGTGATGCCACCCGCTCCCACCGCCCTCCCTGTTCTCCGGCTTGTTTGAGGGGTGGTCTGAGCCCTCACCGTGTCAATGTTTCACAGCTTCTCCCAACTTCTCAGTGCTGTTGCATCTGCTTTCTGAAGCATGTTAAATGTGCATTTTCCCTCCGTCTCCACTGCCTTAGCCTAGATCCCCTTCATCAAGCCCCGGGGATGGTTGTTCCAGCTACTAACTGGTCTCCCTGCCTCTACTTTCCGCTACTCCAACCCTCTCCCAGCTTCCTAGAGAGGATATCTTTCTGAAGCACAGATCCCTCCCAACAGAGTCTTCTGTGGGAGAAAAAATTAACAACCTGTTATCAAGCATAGCCCCTGAGCCTTTGTCCCCCTGCGGTATGGGGCAGATCTCACTCAGAGGGCAGCACCCTTCCCGGAGTGCTCACGGCCCCTAATCCCTGCTTAAGGGGACTAGGGGACTGCATGGGCCCGGCAGGGGCACTGCAGGAAGCAGCTGGAGGAGTCCTAACCAGCAGCACCTCACTTGTGCCACACTGCCCAGCTGCTCTCAGTGAGTCAGCACACTGCGGTCGAGCAATGCGAGCCCAGAGGCAGAGTCCAGCATGCTTTGCAGGACATAGAGGCATTTCCCAAACTCGCTGAGACCTACCTTTCTATTCTCTCTCCTTTTTTTTTTTTTTTTTTTTAAAACAGTGGTCACCTCCCTACCCTAACCTTGTGCCTTTCCTGGAGCCCCGTCTGCTTTTTTCCCTGTGTGTTTTGCACATGCTATTGGCCTCTGCCATGCGCTTTGTCCTCTTCTCTGTCCAGGGCAGCCCCTTCTGACTTTTCAGTCCCTGCCCAGCTGCGAAGGCTTCCTTTACCCCTCGGGTACTTTGTGCGCTTGTGTGTTGTAGTGCTTCTCAGGTCCTGTTTTATTTTCTCAATCTGATTTTTAAAAATCAACTTATTTTGTTCTAATTCACAAACAAGAAAATGCACCCATTTTAAGTGTGCAGTTTGATGTATTTTGAAAAATGTGTATACCTGTGTAATAACCACAACAGGCAAGATATAGAATATTTCCAACCCCTCAGAAGATTCCCTTGTGCCCCTTCCTGGTCAATCCCCCTTAGCCCAGTCCTACAAAATTATTGGTTTGATTTCTATCGTTATAGATTTGATGGTCATTCCTGGAGCTTCATATACATGGAGCACAGAGTACGTGTTTGTGTGTGTCTAGCTGCTTGCACTCGGAATGATGTTCTGGGATCCATTCATGTTGTGTGCATCGGTAGATCATCCCTTTTCTTGATGAGCACTATTCCACTATGTGACTATGCCACAGTTGGTTTACCAGTTCTCCTGCAGCTTGGGCACTTTCTAGTTTGGGCTATTATTCGTAAGCCTACTGTACAGTACAGCTGTTTCATGGGCAGATATTTTTATTTCTCTTGAGTAGACACCTAGGAATGGAACTACTGAGTCAAAGACAGGTGTATGTTTAGTTTTAGATGAAAGTGCCAGCATTTTCCCCTGAGTAGCTGCAGCACTGAGCATTCTCCCCAGCAGTGCAGAGAGCTCCAGTTGCTCCACATCTTTGCCAACATTCGTTCTTGCCTATCTTCTGAATTTTAGCCATTCTGGTAGGTGTGCAGTGCTTGCTTGTTGCATTAATTTACATTCCCCCTTATCACAGTGTATTTTAATTATCTGCTTAAGAGTCAGTCTCGCCCATCAGAATTCAGTGCAGGGAAACTACAGTCACTTTTGCTGGTTGAATGAACAGTCTGAACATCATATGGTCCCTTTCCTCACTTCACTTAAAATCAAATAGGGATGGCCGGGTACGGCAGCTCATGCCTGTAATCGCAGCACTTTGGGAGGCTGAAGTGGGTGGATCACCTGAGGTCAGGAGTTCAAGACCCGACTGGCCAATATGGGGCAACCCTGTCTCTACTAAAAATACAAGAAATGAACCGGGCCTGGTTTTGGGCACCTGTAATCTCAGCTACTCGGGAGGCTGAGACAGGAGAATTCCTTGAACCCAGGAGGTGGAGGTTGTAGTGAGCCAAGATCAAGTCACTGCAGTCCAGCCTGGGCAACACAGCAGGACTCCATCTCAAAACAAAACAAAACAAAACAACCGCAGGACATCCTGGACAGATGATGCATTGGTGCCAGGTGAAGGTGGGGTGACTGACCATCCCAGTGTGCCCAGGCCTGAGGGATCTCTTGGGCTGCAGGACATTCAATCCTAAAACCAGGACAGTCTTGGGCAAACTAAGGTGGTTGGTCATCCAGGAAGGTAATGGGCCAGCATGAAGATAGCAGTGTGACATTTAGTCATAATTACACTAAAATGGGACTTTCTTTCTCTATAATTGATCTTAACTTAGCTCATGAATCCCTACTTCTGCTTATGGTGGAAAAATTCAGTTTTTTCAGCTGGTATGGTTTGGCTGTGTCCTCACCCAACTCTCACCTTGAGTTTTAATAATCCCCATGTGTCAAGGGTGAGGCCAGGTGGAGATAACTGAATCATGGGGGCAGTCTCCCCGATACTGTTCTCAAGGTAGTGAATAAGCCTCATGAGATCTGATGGTTTTATAAAGGGCAATTCCCCTGCACACACTCTCTTGCCCACGGCCATGGCAGCCATGTAAGACATGACATTGCTCCTCATTTGCCTTCTGCCATGATTGTGAGGCCTCCCCAGCCATGAGGAACTGTGAGTCCATTAAACCTCTTTCCTTTGTAAATTACCCAGTCTTGGGTATGTCTTTATTAGCAGCGTGAGAACAGACTAATACACCATCTCAGGGTCACTCAGGTCCTCTCAGTCCTACAGATGGTTCCTTAAGGGCTTGAAAGAGCTCAAGATTCTCTGCCTTGCCCCTTCTCTCTTCTCTCATTGCTGCCCACAATGGGAGCTGCTCAGTGATATGAACCCGGTCACTACACCTTGTGCTGTTGATTTCTATGTGTCCTGCCTTGTTCCCGGGCCCATGGGGCATGTGCTTTGTAGGAATAGCCCGGGAACTTTCCAAAACCCTTCTGTAGCTTGCTGGGGTGATTTGAACCGTGAGACTTCCCTCAGGTATCCCTCCCTCCCCCACCCGCCGCCAACCCCCTTGTTGCCCATCCACATGCTCCATTGTGTAGGTGGGTTTCAATCTTTCAATCCAAGGTTTGCAGTCTCCTTGGCTTGAGCCTGGAAATCAACACAGTTTCCTCCTTTCCTCATGCCCCCTGCTCCCTAACTTCCATTTCTGGCCCAACCCTAGTCATCTGCCCTCAGTATTCATTGTGTTATGTGCTGGTTCAAACATGTACCTCCCTTGAACAGGAACTCTCTGGTTTATGGCATAACCTTATGCTCCAGGCTCTTGATATATAAGGATATGTTCTAGAGTTCCAACAAGTAAAAGCAAAAATAAAACCAAAACTCTTCTCTCTCAAGTGGCAGACTTAAAAGTCAAGGTTTTTAGGATTTACATTTTGAAAAATCAGCTTGGTGGCTATGCTGGTTTCTAGACTCCAGCCTGCACCTGCCCTCCTGTCAGGGCAATGCCCGGGGAATGCAGCCTGCTGCCTTAGTGTGGGGACAGCAGGCATAGGGGAGGATGGAGGAGGGAGGCGGCTCTGGAGTGAGGTTTGAAGGCTTCCTGGAGATGTGTGACTGGAGATTGACTTTAAAGGGCAAACTTTGGCTAAGGAGGTGCAGGGGCTGGAAACGCCTTCCACAGATGAAATCTGGCAGGAATCAAAGCACAATGTTGGCTGTGCCTGGTGTCAGCCCCCGATAAGCAGCCTGACTGCAGGGGAGGACATGGCTACAGGGCAGATAAGATGGAAGGGCGGTTGGGGAGGTCCCTGAGCAGTTTATCTTATACCTCCCATTGGCTTCTGTGAGCCCAGGTGGGTGCCAAGGTTGGCCACCTCCCCCAGATCTGCTCTCCTATTTGCAGCACACCTCTCCTGGACAAAGAGTTTTTCCTCAGCCTTCACCACCCATGGAGGAGGTGTAATAACCTCTATTCTCAGAAAGGAGACTGGGACCCAACCAAGGCAAGTCATTTGCTCGAGACCACAGAGCAAAGATTGACAATTCTGTCATTCCAGAAATATTTGTCGAGTGCCCCTGATGTGTCAGGTAGGTGCACCCTGAACATTTGTTTCGTTTGTACTTAATAACATTTTCAAGAGGACATTACCTGTTTAAGTGAAAAATCTGTAAGGAGTTTCCTATCTTTCCTAAGTCTCTGTGGCACACTGATCACAATCATAGTACTATTTCTCAGGTTACCTAGACACACACAGATGTACGGCTTCCTGAAAGTTACCCAGGCACACACAGATGTATGGCTTTCAGGAAGCCGTACATCTGCATAGCTTTGAGGCCCAGCCTTGTTCAACATTTCACTTGGAAGAATTGCTGGCCTGATGACCAACGCTGATAGTCAACAACTTAAAACTTCATTGAAGGCTCCTAAAAAAAATCAGTGCCTCTGTGTGTGTGTGTGTGTGTGTATGTGTGTGTGTTGGTGTGTGTGCATAACATTCATTACTGCAAACTGGAATGGAGTGGGGCTGGAAGGCAGCCCAGAAGCAAGGCTCAGAGCCCGGAGCGGCTGACCTCTTGGGGACACTGCAGCCCTGGCCTGGCCTACTTTTCTCTTCTCCCATATCTGGAAAATGAAAGTAGCCCGACGTATCCGGGGACCTAGCCCAAGACTCCACCCACTGGCAGCTCTTCACTTATATCTTTTCTTATCGAAAATGGGAGGTGACACCCAGTTTAAGGAAAATTCCAAGGCATTTGTCTCGACTAATGTGAAAGATGATTACACTGGCCAGAGGACTGCCAAGGTTCCCTCTCAGCTGCTGGAGTCAAGGAGTGTAAGGTTTCAAAGGGCCCTCCCTGGCTTCCCTCGGGCCCGTAGTTTGTGACCGTGTCATTTCCAGAGTCAGAAGGCCCGGAGATGGCCCCAGGCAATTGTTTCTGCTTCTAGGGTGTTTGAAGAGACAGAAAGCCAGGGTAAGGTTCACTGAACCTCCAAGCAAAAATAAATGTCCAGAAGGGGCTGCTTTACTCTGAGGACATTGAATAACAACAAAAACTGCCACTGATGAGCCATTTGTGCCGGGCCCTGTGCTGGAGACTTTGAACACCTGTGTTCACCCCTCCCTTATGACACTCATGAAGATATACCATGGTTGTCTTTATTTTCTGGGTGGGAATCTCAGGCATGAGGGTTGGGGTGGCTTGGGGAAGGTGTATATCTAAGAGGTAGCTCTTATTTATTTTATTCTAGAGCTTAAGACACAGTCTTTTTCAAGATAGACATGGAACTGGCAAAAAGGATTAAAAGTTAAATAGGGATAACATTATGTAAATTGATCTTATGTTAAAAAAAAGAAAAACCACAAAGATATTTGAAGACTAGGCATCAATATATATTATATCATGATTTTTAAAATCATGCTACCAAGAGTACTTCAGAGCTCCAAAGCTGAAATATATCTGTATACTTATATATCTAAATTAAGGAATACTTACTGCTAAAACCTCAAAAATCAGAAGTATGTAAAGGAAGAAATAAAAGCTCCCTCTTCCCCTCTGATTCTAATTTGTATCAAATTTATATCTCTATGTGTATCTCAGTTTGCCTTTTTAACTAAATGCGGTTATATCAGACATATCATTCCCTAACATTTTCCTCTATTAATGACACCTAATGGACATCTATGCATGGCGCCGTATATAGAGCATACTTCCTTGAAAAATCCCTTGCATGGCATTTTATTCTTGAATAAATGCCACTTGTGTGGCATTTTATTGTAAGGTTGTGTCATAATTTATGTATTCAGTTCCCTGGTGATGGCTTTATCATGGGGCTTTTGGCTGAAAGTATCAGAAAGTGGCCCAAACTGGCTTAAACAAATTTACCATCTCATGTAACTTAAGTTCAAAGAAAGAGCGGCTTCTGAATGGGTTCCATACTACTGGCATAGCATTTGGCATTTCCTTCTACGTCTCCTCCTCTGTGTGTTGGTTTTGTTTGAAGATTATTCCCCTTTATGGTGGCAAAATGGTTTTTGTAGTGGCACCAGGCTTTACAACCTCTTGCGAGGGAAGAGGGAGAAATGCCATGCCTTGATGTGCCAAGAAGGAGGCGTGAGATTCACCCTGGTTGAACCCCAGGGTGCCGGTGTCCTCTTCTAGATCAGTGGCTGCCAAGGGCCATCTTCCAAGGAAGCACCTGGACTATACATCCTCCACAATGGGCCCTTAGAATTGGTCCATATTTTTCAAAATTGCAAATAATGTTTAAAATCCTTGTACTTGGCTGGGTGTGGTGGCTCATGCCTGTAATCCCAGCACTTTGGGAGGCTGAGGTGAGTGGATCACCTGAGGCCAGGAGTTTGAGACCAGCCTGGCCAGCATGGCGAAACCCCATCTCTCATAAAAATACAAAAAAATTAGCCAGATATGGTGGCCTGTGCCTGTAATCCCAGCTACTAGGGAGGCTGAAGCAGGAGAACTGCTTGAACCCTGGAGATGGAGGTTGCAGTGAGCTGAGATTGAGCCATTGCACTGCAGCCTGGGTGACAGAGCAAGACTCTGTCTCAAAAAAAAAAAAAAAAAAAAAAAAAAGAAAGAAAAAATTCTTACACTTTACATATAGCACTGTTTTCTTGGGCAATTATCTGTTTAGGATAAACTAGAAATAATATTGCTAGGCCAAATAGACTATGGGTTTTAAAAGTTTAACACTTTATCCTCCAAAACAGATTTTAATAGTTTATAATAGATGTGCCCGGTTTCTTATGCCTCACTTACTGGAATATTAGAAATCTTTTAGTCTCTCCCAAAACATGGCATTTTTCTATTATCTTAATTCACATTTCTTTGGTTATTACTGATCTTGAACATATTTTTCACATTTATTGGCTGTGCTTTTTTCTTTTTTCTTTTTTCTTCTGTGGACTGTTCATGTCTTTTGCAGTATTTTCTCTTGGATTTGTGAGAATCATTTATTTATTGTAAACATTAAACCTTGATCGGTAATATATGTTGCAATTATTTTTCCCTAAGTTTTCATTTATTTGCCAAACTTAGTTTTTTTTTTTTTTTCCAAGTTGTCTTTTCTATGCAGAAGTTTTCACTTTTATGTAGCTGAAACTGAGAAATTTTCCTTTACCATCTCTGAGTTTAACGTCATGCTGAGAAGTCCTTCCTGTCTAGGGAAGATGTGTTCACAGCCTACTGACTGCAGGCACTTCCGGCCAGTTCTGAGCTTGAGCTGAGTCAAATGTAAACAGTTCCTGGGGCTGTGGGTATAGAAACTCCCTTTCTCCTTGGGTCTGGAATACTACGACGCCTTTTCCCTGTTCTCATTTTTCTTAAATGTTTTCATTTAATCCAGGCATTATGAGCCAGGGGATCAACTATTTGCAAAACTCAGTAAAAGGCAGATTCCCAAGGCTCCGCTTCTGCTGCAGTAGGTCTGGAGCCAAAGCGTGTGAGAAAGAAAGTGTCAGCATTTATTCATTCCACAGATATTTCATGAGGTTATTCATTCCACAGATATTTCATGAGGGTTCAAGGCATCATTCTAGGGAGCATGGATACAATACGGTGAACGTCATAGACAAGATTCTTATTCTCATGTAGCCTGCATTCTACTGGGGGAGATGGATGATAGGCAAACAAATAAACAAACAAACTCATCTGAGCACCAAAAAGTCCAGTAGGCAAAGTGCTGACTGTGGAAAAACAGCTGGGGGTGGAAAGAGAGGCTATGGCCCCTGCAAAATGGAATAGGAGCAAGGATTTAATCATTTGTCTCTGAAAAATCTCAGTGATGAGTTCCTTCCCTCCCTTCCCTCAACCTCCAGTTCAGAAGAGACTGATGATGATTGACAGGGATGCACTGGTGGCTTCTCAGAAGCCCATGTGCCTTCTCCACTGCCTTAGTCACCCCTTACTCTGCATTTTCACAGAACCTCAGTGAAATTGCTTAAACCTCAGAATACACGAGAGCCACCCTCATGGCTCTTTCTTGGATGCCAAATAGGCCTCTTATACCTATGTCTGAATTCTTCTTGCCTTTCCAAGGTAGGAGACAATACCATACTCATTTGACAACCACCATTTATGGTCAACAAATCTCTAAGCTCAAAGAAGAGAAGAGGCAAAAAGCAACCCTACCTTATGCAGTTAAAAAAAACCCAAAAAACTCCTTTTATAGAGTTTCATTTACCCTTTCTTAAAACCCCCTAAAATTGACGTCAACAATGCCCCTCTTTTATGATGAGAGGATGGAGGAGCAAACAGGTCAAGGGACTTATTCCAGTCGAACGTCTTGGTAGCTCAGTCCCAAGGAGCTCTGCCCCAGTAGAGCCACTTCAAATCCCATGTTCTTTTCATCTTGTCAGTGATGACCAGCACATGGTTTCTAGCTTTGCAGTATAATTTAGGATTTACCCCTTGGGTTTAGTTTTGGTACCTCTAGAAGAAGTTCAAATATTAAGAATTTTGCTAGCTGTCTTGGTGATCTGTTGCTGTGTAACAACCTCTTCCCTTACCCTCAATCCAGTAAAACAACAACCATCTTCTCTTTTCTCATGGTTCTGTGGGCAGTTCTGCTCCACATGATGTGGTCTGGGGCTGCAGTCCTGTGGATGCTTCTTTGGGCTGGTGAGTTTCCATATGGTGCCTTCACATGTCTGGTGCTTTGGTGAGACAGTGGGGAGGCTGGGCTCAGATGGCATGCTGCGATGACTGGGCCTCTCTGCCCATGTTTTCTCCGGGCCTCTCCATGTGGTCTTTCTGCCTTCTCTCCAGCCGAGTGGCCTATTCCTTACACGGTAGTTTGGGGCTCCTAAAAGCGTAGACATGGAAGCTGCTCAACCTTTGTGAGGTGCTGGCCCAGAGCTAGTCTAACATCCCTTCCTCTGCCCTCTGTGGGTAAAGCAGAAACACCAAATTCAAGCTGGGAGGAAAACAAAGTCCCTCTTTCAAAGGTGAAAGTGACAATGAATTTGCAGCCCCTTTAAATCCACCACAATGTCCAATCAGGAGCACCCATTTTCTCATTGACCTTCTGCTAAGTGGAAAGGTAGAAGGAATTTTCACAATGGTTTTTA